AGGGGTTTTGTGCAGCTGTTTTCAGAGATACTTCTAGAGACTTGTAAATTTTCAGTTCTTCCAAGGTGGTATGATCAAAGCAGAGGTGTTTACCCTTTCCTGGCCTGTGCTCTGGTCTATGAGTGACCACAAGCACTGTTTTCTGCCTTGGAACTGTGACGAGGATTCCCTCTCCACTGCCTGCCACAAGATCTGCCATGCCAGCACTCCTCATCCCAGAACCACCACCCAGGACTAAGATCCAGATCCAAGCACAGGCAAAGCAAGAGAATCCTGCCTCAGTGACAGCAAAGAGATCCCTACAATCCCCCTCTGATCAGCTGCTTGATCCCCCCACCATCTGTGGGCTGAGAGTTTTGGAAGCAGCCATGCCGGGGCTGGGGCCAGACCACACTCCTCTCACCCAGCTACGCCAGACATTTCCTACTGACCTTCTAAGTTGTCTTTGGCATTTCTGGATTGAGAAGTCTGGAAACTGCCACAGCGGCCTGTGATTCAGTCCCCTGAGGCCTGCTCCAGGTTTACTGGGGCCCCATCTTTGCCTGCGTGGCCCACGCTGAACTGCACTCCTCTCCTAGCCTGGTGCAACAGACCTTTCCCATCAACCATCCACGTTGTCTTGGGCTGGAAATTTGTTTCACTATATTTTTGTGGGTTCTGAGCTCTAGAATTTGTTTACAATAATTTTTATAGGTATTTGGAGGGGTTTGGGGAAGAGCTCAAGCAAGTCACTGCTTTTATACTCTGCCATCTTGGCTTTGCCCCCCTACCTCCACATTTTGGGAAGGTTTTTTTCATTTATTTGTTTTCCCTCATGACATCAAAGCTAAATTAGCCTCTTTGCAATTTCCACTCTTTGCTCTTGGTTTATCCTCTGGGGATGAACAGAAAATGCCAAATCCTTCATCAACAGCTTAAAGACAGCTATCACTTCCCTTGTCCTCTCTTTTGCATGTCCCAAAGCCCCAGTTCCTTAAACTGATCCTCAGTGGACTCAAGGCCCTCACCATTTGGGTTGCACTCCTCTGGAGGGCAACATGAGGAATCAATAGATAAAGGGACAATGATATCTCCCATCTATTACTTAATTTTTCAAGGCTTAACTCAAATGCCACCTCCTTCATAAAGCATTCACAATGCTTCCTTCTCCCTCAAATCCTCCACGAAAAGAAAAGTCCCCCTCTTTAAATTTCTTATAGCATTTTGTTGGGAAAGAGGGCAAAGGCTTATTATTATACTCTTTTTTGTAGCATAAGTATCTGTGTGTATACCCTCTCCCCGATACCCGGGACACCTGTTTGCTATCTAGAACATCCTCAAGAACCAGACTATGCTTGTTTTTATATCCCCAATACCTAGCACAATACCTTTTCACAGAGTAGGTACTTAGTATAGGTTTGTTAAATTATGTTGAATAAAATTTTATAAAGGAATTTTAGTGATATGAATTGACAAGCAGATTCCAAATATTTTGTACAGCTATTTAACCAGAATACTGAAATGTTCTTCAAGCAGAATCAATTTGAAATTACATGTGGTTACAATCCATGGAAAATATGAAAGTGTGAACCACTTTCAAAACCAGCAACAGATTGGGCAAGATGTACTTGGTTATTTTATTGTATTTAATATGCAGTACTTTGTAGATAGCATCTCTCTTACTGCCTCACATTTTAGGTTTGCTGCTTTCGTGTTTTTACTTTCAGGCTGTTTGTGATAAGAAAGGAAAGCAAACAATATGCAAATGACTTCATGTCCTAGATTTAATGCTCACAGAAAAAAAAAACTCATAAGTTTACATCCTTGCACTTCAATATCAGGCAAAAATACTGAGTCAATTTCATTGTTTTGCAAGTTGCTATTATCTATTTCCAAGTGTTATATTTTCCTATCCCAACCTTCTTTCCATTAAGAAGCTTTTGTGTGTGTGTGTGTGTGTGCCTGCATTTGAGGGAAAGAAATGTGGTATTACATAAAGACTGTAAGTGTGAAAGAAAATGGAAGCTGAACAAATGAGATGTTGTATTTTAGCTCTTTCTTTTTTATAAAAGAAAAGCTAATGTTAATTTTAATATTAGCTGGGGAGGTCTCTTAGCTAGAGAGGAAATGTGGAAAAAAATGTTAAAAGGAGACTTCTAGGATTCAAATATAAGTATTTAGAAACAAGGACAACAAGTAATTTTGTAGCAAAACGAAGACAGCAATTTGCAATATCCAAATAAAAATAAATGTTAAATTCAGTCTTTAAGTATTTCAACAGACCATGATGCAGTAGATTAGAGCACTGAATGTGAAAAGGAACACTATTTATGAGAAACTGAAATAGTTCAAATCTGATCAAATAATCATTTACTAAGAAGGTGTCAAATGGTGTTCTAGGAAGAAGGACGGATAAAAATTTAATCTGCATAGCTCACTGTTTTCTTGGATCCTGCATTCTGACGGGGGACATGACACAGACACAGTGACTATTTATAGTTTCAAGTTAGATGCATCATAGTTACAAAGCAAAGGCTTTGTGAAGTCAGAGAGTTAGGGAGGAAGAGGGAGCTGTTACCTGAAGGAAGGTTGGGGTGAACTTGGGAGATAGAGGAGAAAGGAAAAGAGTGGCAATATTGTATAGCAGAAAGAACACTAGCCTTGAAGTTGGAGGAGCTGGGTTTGAATCTTACATCTGTTTCTTTGCTAGTGTGACTTCGAGCAAGTGACTTAGCCTCTCTGGACCTCACTCTCTTCATCTGTAAAGTAAGTGAGTTGAACGACAGAGCTCCAAGATCCTTTCTGGTTCTAGATCTTATAGCCAGGGAATATTTGCAAAATCTAAAAAGTGAACACATACACATTTATAGATTTAGGTATAACTAATGGCATGCAGGAAGAAAGAACTTTTTGCAGATTAGGCGAGGGGTAGTATAGGATAAATATTAATCATGTGGAACTATATAAAATTTTGTTGTTATTCAGTCATTTCAGTCGTGTCCTACTCTTCATGATCCCATTTGGGGTGTTCTTGGCAAAGGTACTAGAGTGGTTTCCCATTTCCTTCTCCAGCTCATTTTACAGATGAGGAAATTAAGGCAAACAGGGTTAAGTGACTTGCCCAGGGACACATAGCTAGTAAGTGTCTGAGGCTGGATCTGAACTCAGGAAGATGAGTCTTCCTGACTCTAGGCCCAGCACTCTATGCACTCTAGCGCTACCTAGCTGTCCCATGGCAGTTAGAATGCAGATCTAGAATTTCTCCTATAATACAGTATTGTTTTTTCCTATAACCTGCTTCACCCACCGTGTCAGATTATCTCATCATTTGCTCTTATTTTAATTTTTATAAGGAACTCTTCAATCTTGTTACCTAAAAAGTTTCCTGTAGGAATCTTCTTCGTTGACAATACACAGTTGGAAATGTTCTGTACGACTTCATTTTTTCTCTTTTCCCACTGCTTTCTCACAGACACCTACCCTCACTGTGCAAATGCAGATATCTTCATGCCCCATTACTGTCCCCTGAGGTAAAGTGTACAAAACTTTGACCTGGCCTTCTCAGCCTTGACTTTCCAGGGGAAAAGATGCAAATGAAGATACAAGAGGGCAGTTCAAATACATCAGTGCGACAACTTTAGATTAGATGGAGATCTAAAGGTGACTAAAGTGATGGGACTATTTCTGCATGTAGCTTTCTGAGACAGACTGCAGATTAACAACATGACACTAACTTGTCAGAGAGGTACCAGGCACAGATTCACACATAAGTCAGGGCTTTTTTTATTCTCAAGTTTTTATCTCTCAGTAGTTGCCTCATAACTCACAGGACTTGGTCAATCTCTTCCTACTCAATACACAGATGTCTAAGAGGGAGGCCCAACAACACCCAGACTACCCATTTCCCCTGTTTGAGGGACTGAGGGAGGGCAGTAGTACCAGTAGAGAAAAAAACCAGCCCTAAGTGGGTCTGGTGATACTCTATATAGTTCTGTTGCTATTAAACCTAGAAGGGAATACAAATTAGTAAGTGTGGAGTTCAGAGGTCCACAGGAAGGGGAGAATATAATCATACTTGCAATATAATTAGTTTTTTTCCCAATTCTTTTTAACATCACTCCTTGAAACAAATTCCTTTAAACTGGAGAAAAAGACAATAAAAAGACAACTTTCAACACTTTCTTCAATTAAAGCTTCAAACTGGCTAAGTTCCACTTCGTTTTTATTAATGCACTTATTTCAATGATATATTTCTATTTTCCATGTAAGACTTTCAGTCTTGAATTCAGAGGCAGAGAGATTTCAGTGAAATCTGAATTCATGGAAGAAAATATATTCTTCTTCCCCAGGGAATGACCCCTAGCAAGAAGTTTTGATAGGCATTCTTCAATCTCCTCTATTTCTGTGCATCTTGATTTAACTTTTTGCATCAACATCATCTGCTTCTTGGCAAACTTGATGAGATCTTCCTTGGGTAATGTTTCCAACTTAGATTTGCCAGCCCCAGGTGTGGCTGATGAGGCCACCACATCTTGCCCGGGATCCTCCATGTCCATGCTGGATCACACACACCCACACACACAAGCACACCCTCACCGTGGTCCGGACTAGCCGGTCGCAGTTGCTGCTGCCGCCACCGCCACAGTCACTTCCAATGACCTTTATTTCTTTAATAAAGTTATATCTAGTTTTTAAAAATGGCTCAACTTCAATTTAGATTTTACCCAACTTTCTATAACCTGCTTCTGCTTTATCAGTGACATTATTTCTTTTTACACAGAACCTTTTATCTTCTATAATATATATACATGGATTTCATTCTCTTAATACAATTTTCTTGTAAACACCAGTTTTTTCATAATGTTCTTCAGTTCTAGCCTAGTTTTTCTATTTCCTCTTTATTAATTCTAGTGCCTATTCTCATGTTTTGTTTTTTTACACCACAGGTATAATATAGGGTCCATATAATCACACTTTGACCTGATAAACATTTAAATAGTACTTTAGAGACAATTTCTTACCTGAACAAAGCTGTTCCACTTTTGTGTAGTTTAAAGATACTATGTCATTCACCCATGCAATGATGTCATGTCTGCTCATAGTCTCTTGGGTTATCGAGGTAGAATACACATTGACCGCCATTCCCCAACTGGAAAAAAAGATATATTTACTTTAAAATAAATAACTATAATAGAATTCTACAAATAAACCATACTGAAATTGGAGCAGTCTTTCAGACAACTGTTGCTTATAACTACCCAGATGTAAGTGACACAAAAATTTAAAATTTAAGCTTTTTTTTAAAAAATAGCTGTCAACATATCTTATACTAACAATCTCCAAACTATATGGAATGAAAAGCTTTCAAAATATATTTGCCTTAGGGAAGACATTGACATTATGTGGGAAAGGATTGAGACATAAATCATCCCTGTTTTCAAGTATTCTATTGGAGTTTTCCCAAAGATGCTTTTGGTGACTCTAGAGAAGAAGAGTTTACATTCCAATAACTGTATTCAATTACAAAAATCAATTATCTTATCCATCTACATAACAGCAAACACAACAACTTGACTGACAACTTGATTGCTCTCAAACCATTTCTATCTGTACCCCATCTAAAAAGACAAATAAAGAAGATAACAGTGATAATAATAACCATGAAGCCTATGAAAAAGATAAAGTCCAAGAAAGGAAAGAACAGGCCCTCCCACCCTTCATGAGTAATACCTATATGAATTCTACCAATAATATGTCAAATATGTCAACAAAGAAGCATCAAAAAGATCTGAGTCATCAGGATTTTTTCATAAAAACAGAGTAATTTATCAGTGATACAAGCTCAAGTAATTGCTACCAGAAATTAGAAAAAGGTCATCCTTAAGAAGCCCAGACTTACTGATCAATGAAGATTTTGCACGCAAATGGTAGAAACTATGCAACATATGACTATAGGTTGTAGCACATGCTGAATACCTAGAAAGACAATATCAAGTGGGCTAGAATTTTGTACCACAAGCTTGATATCCTTCTTAAATTAAGAGATAACAAATTCCCAAACTAATAAACCCCTAAATATCCTTGAAAATTCAATAAGTAAATCTGTTCAGTAATGATACTTCAATTCTAGACATACTACCTACGAAATGTCATAAAACACATTTTTAATGGTGTTACCATACTGAATACTCAACCTCCAAATGATATTGTCCTTTCATGCATTTTTAAAGACCAGGTTCACCGCCACTCATCTAATTTCTTACAGTATCAGAATGGCCTTTCAAGTCTTAAATAATAATAATATAATAATAACAAGACAACAACAATAACATAATAAATAAAACATTTACATAGGACTTCAAGGGTCCTTCCATTTCTAAATGATTATATCAGACTAACTAATCTGACTAATTAATGGAATTTTGACATCAAATCTACAACTATGTTAATAATAATATCTTGAATTTCTAGTAATAATCTACTTCTGTAAGACTTTACAATTTATAAATTTACTTCCCCATGTATTTATCATATCATTCGATCTTTATACCCATGGAAATGGAATCCATGGTAGGAATATCCTGGAAACATTGCTCTGCTCCTATAAGCAGAGGTCCATGAAGTTCAGGGATGGCAAGCAGGAGAGTCAGGAATGATACCTCCTCTATAGATGCTAGAATCCTGGAAAAGCCCTAATCGGCATCTGGATGGCACAGTGGATAGGGTGCTAGGGCTGGAGTCAGGAAGATTCAACTTCCTGAGTTCAAATCTGGTCTCAGATACTTAACTTTTATTATTATTATTATTATTATTATTACTCATTCATTCACATATTCATTCTTCCTTTGATCATCAACCAAGAAATGAAAATCTATAAAATAAACCAGACCCATATTTTAAATGGTTATAAAGTTAATTCCAAATTACCTGAGGAGGAAAACAAGTCTGTAGTAATCAACAATGAAAAATGAATGTTAATTAAGTCCCATAGGCACTCAGTGCAAATAGATTGTAAGGAAGTACAAGCACCAAAAAAACCCCAAGTAAATAGTAGTTATAGCATATGTTTTGTGTCTGTAATCCCCCTTGTAAACTTCAATAAAGATTTCTTATTAGTGCTAGGGATTTGAAGTGAACAAAAGCTTAACTAAATCTTGTGCTTGAGGCAACTACTACAAAATGTGCCCTGGCAAGTAGTACCCTCAAATCAACTTTTTAAAGATGAACTGAATTAGGAATGGAGGAGGAAACCTTGGATGCTGGGACACTGCTCCTTTGGGATGGGGGCAGGGCACAGAGACCTTTGGGCATTGGAGATTCTGGAACATCAGAAGGTCAATACAGAGGGACAGAGCAAGGAAGGCCTAGGTTTGTGGACAAAACTAGACTGTGTTGGGGCTCCTAGAGGAAGGAGCAGTGCCATGTAATAGCTTCCTGTTTCAACTAATTAATCTGGCTAATTAGGCACTATGCTCAACTGTATGCACTGGCTTGGTTAAAAGTGTTGCCAGCATCCTCTAATTTTTAGTGCTCTGGGACAAAGCCTCCGCCATTTAGCCCTAGTTGAAGCTCTAGAAATGAAACAGCAAAAAAAAAACCAAAAAAACCCAAAACCAAAATATAGCTGAATAAAAGTTTACATTTAATATTACAAGAAACTGCTCTTCATTAGTAATTCTTTATTTGTTTTTTATTCAGCCAAGATTAAAAAAAAAGGATTGTAATAAATAGTTCAAGAATGAAGTTATAAATGGGAGTATAGTTGGTAGAAAAGAAAATGGGTCAATAAAACATGGGGATGATGCTAATTAGTGATTGTTTGCTTACCTTGCTATTTCCTAAGACAGACTCACTAAGAGTCTTGGAAATATATGTCTCCATCTCTCAATAAGTTCACTAGAACCTGGCTCTCACACATATATATTTTCACACTTGAGACAACATTTTCCCACTTTTCTGTCCTACGTGATTTATTCTCTAGGTTCAATGCTGAGGGATGTAATATGGTGATTACTCTCACCTTTACCTTCTTCCTCCAGTTTTGCCTTTTTGGCTGTCCTGGGAACTATATTACGATTTTATGCCATTGTTTGAAAAAGAAAATAGTACAAGAAACAAGATTCACAAGGCATTAAAGAGGAAAATAGTCAAAGATATTTTAAAAGTATGTCTTGGTGTATCAAGAGAACATTTAAATTTTTTGAGATAACTATTGTTTTTTTCCCTTTTGATTATTTTTGATTCTTAAATGGCTGGGTCTGGTTAATAATTTATTTTCACATCAGCTTTTGCTCTTTGGGCACTCAATTTTTTCTTTAATAAATTCTTTGTAACTCAGAATGGAAATATGATTTTTAGACTTTGAAGAATTTTTTGGGAATAATGGAATAAAAATACATGCCAGAAAATAAATAATATAAAATTCCAAACATAGGTATCCATCACATCCTGAGAAAGATTTACCAAGTATATAATATATGTGTGATATATATGTGTGATAAAATTATGGGGTCACAGTTAATAATGAATTAAAACAAGAAAACTGACTAAAATGTTCTTCTTTGGTTAGTGATAACATCCATCTAGGTGAACTCATTTATTTGATTTTATTTTTACCATTTAATAAGAATCTAAGACAAAGGACTAAGATTCCTAGATGTGGTTTATTTTTATTTTTAATCAAAATTTTTAAAACTGCATGGTCAGGATGCAAATTTTGGTTTGATCATTGTATGGGACAATTAGTTTTCTTTTATTTCTTACCCACAACTTGTATTTCTATATTTGCCCAGTCATCTCATAAACTATAGGTTGTTGGTTGCAAGGCAAATTTGTGGATGGCTCAGCACAATTCATTACAACTACCAGAAAAGCAACTCCAATCATAAGACCTCATGATTGTGGATTAGCAGCAGCCTCTTCATGTCTAAAAAACACAATACTATTTTTTCCTTTCACATTTCTGAAATGATTCTTTCACATGGAAGGTAGATCAGTTCAATGTGGAATGTTAACCCAAATTGTCTTGAGACTGAGGTTACTGTTATACAATGAGGCTTTTTTGAATTTCAGATCTTACACATATTTATCCAAAATTATCTATAAGCAAAATTACCATGAGATCAATTTTGGACAATTATTACTACATAACCTAGTGTAGAGAACACTAGGATTTTCTTTTTGACAAATGTCCTGTAATTCAAAACAAGATACTGTTTTTAGTTTTTGAAGAATATTTTTGGAAAGGAGGAAACACGTGCTATCAAATAAATCATACAAGAAGCCAAACATGGATATATGACTAATAATATATTAGGAGGCACTGGTTCTAGTTCTAGCTTTTCCCCAGGGGATCACTGTGAAATTCTATTTTTAAAATCTCTTTGACTTTAAAATGTAAGGTACATATTATTCCTACTTCACAGGGGGCTCTCTGGAAGAAATGACATATAACATTCAAGATACTTATTATTTTTATTTATTGAAGAATTTCAAAGAATTCTTTTCTGTTGAGAAAAAGAACTTGCTACGAGAAGGCTAAGAATGGTGATTGCAGAAGGAAAGCTGACAACACATTTCATGGCATGTATCCTTATTTTTGGATCTGTGACCATGCCTTTAACACTGCAAACCGTCTAGCATCTGGGATGTATGCATTTCTCCCCTGCGACACCCTTGCAAAGACAGGAAAAGAAAGTGCTGCATTCTTATTTTGTGACATTTTGTTAACACTTTTAGGGGCAATTGTGATGGTAGATGGAGGGCTGGTCTTTGAGTAAGACAGTGAGGTTCTGCTTCTTGCATATGCTAGCTGCATGACTATCAGCAAGTTAGTTAACTTCTTGGTGCCCCCAGGATGCTTGATTTGGAGTTAAAAAAAACCTGGGCTCAAATCTGGATCTACCACTTGCTATTCTACTTACTACCTGGAAATATCATTCACTTATAGCACAGTGCCTGGCACATAGTAGGCATTTAATAAATGCCTATTCCCTTCTTCCTTTCCACATATATCTCTAATGATCTGGTTATTAGCAGTGAGCAGTATTTACATTTCCCCCTTGGAACAAAATTTTCTACTTGCAGATGAACACGATATTCTTAGATTCAGTTCATGGCGTGTATACAGTGGGGAGCAGAAATTTTAAA